CTAAATGTTAAATGTTAAACTAACACATGAACAGCAAGCAATATAGACAGATGGATATGGAAGTTTCATATGATCTAAATTATTGTGCGAGTGTGTGAGAGGTCATGCATGGTTAGTGTGCATCTTTCCCATCAGATGCTGGTCAGTTCCCACCTAGTCTGAGTAATAACCTTTTTCTCCTTGTCTGCTTCTTAGTCTGTCTCTCCTACCATAACACCACAATGCTGAATCAACTTACAATCAGGGAAGCTGCAAGTCATGCCAACAAGGCTTTGGAGTCTAAATCTGATAAATGAAAACAGTGACCTCAGTAATCCACAGTTGAATCTGAATCACTAGCTTCAAATATCCAGTGGTTGGAATCAACAAGTTTCAGTTTTATTTTTTTTTAAACGACCAGTGCATTTAACATTTAACCAAACACAAGCTAAAGCTTTCCTCACTTACATTTTTTTTTTAAATAATGTTTTAGTTATTGGAAATGAGCTCCCCCCCAATGTGGCTTAAGTTTAGCAAAGTCTACAGCGCATGCAGTTTTGGTTACTGTACATAGCAAGTATCTAAAGACATTTTTTCCTACTGACTTTTATAAGTGAAGCCAGGTTGTGACCAGTGGGACTTACAGGTCACTCAGGGAGAGATTGATGGAAAGAATAAATCAAACAGTAGTCGGATAGGTGGAAGAAACCCAAGGATAAAATAAAATGATTGAGGGGAGAAACATCCCACACTGGTTTGGTTGCTGCCGAGCGCAAATGCTTTTAAAGAGTGCTCACAGGTGTTTTGACTCTTGTCTTTTTTTTTTTTTTTTAGCTTTTAGAGTCGCGTTTGAGAGCTTTCCCAGTGCGAGCAAACCAGACGATGTGGCACGCTCTCGAGAGATTTGTAGTTTTGCTTTTCTGTCTGACACATGTTGTTGAGACAGTTTGGTCTATTTCAGAAAAATTGTAAATAGTGCAGCTATTTTAGTGCCCTGTTTATGAGCTCTGTAAGATAAACAAGTGTTTATTTTAGGGGTCCAACACGTGCAACGGGATTAACAGCGATAAATAGCAATCCAGTGAGCTGGTGTACTGCTCTTTCCATCTCTCTTTCCATCTTTTATTTATTTATTTATTTATTTATTTTTTTTGCAATCCAATACTTACAGGTGACTGATGCCTGACAAAAAATATCAAGGCCACATACATAAACATCTACACTTAAACATGAACATAACATACATAAAAGTGTGTGTGTGTGTGTGTGTGTCTGTTACTGGGTGTGTGAGTGGAAATAACTTAAAAGAGGAACATCTTTCCATCCTAATTCACATGAATAATATGTATTATGCAACTCTTTTAAATTTATTATACTCTTGTTTTAGTAAATCGGTTTGTTAATTTCAGTGGAATGATTCAGAAGCCTTCATTTGAGCCATCACAAAAATTGTTCCTAGAGTTGTTAGTTACTTTACATCATCTTGTTTGAAGCAAAGTAAATAATAATGGCGGTTTTCTGTGTAAATTTATTTTAGTTCAATGTGATCAGTCAAATTGTCTGTATATATATACATATATATATATATATATATACAGTATATATATATATATATTAGGACTGCCAATAGATACAAAATTGAATCCTGAATAATCACACTCTTGTGCGTAAAGTATAGGCTACACCATTTATCTTGTTTAACATGTTCATTTTGTCATCATTTGCTGTATCCAGTGAAGTAAACCATCAGATTGAAGGGTGATTCTCACAAAACTGTATTTTCTGCAAACTTTTTTTAAAGTACATTAAGGTTATTTCCAAAAAAAAGTACACTTGGAGACTCCAAAGAAACACCAAATAGCCAAAGTAAATCCATATCATTTTTACATTTATGCCCAGCAATGCATCCATGAACAAAAAAAAATCCTGAATTGACCATGTATACTGCAAAGTGCTTGTTTACACATGTTGCGAGACCGAACAGGGCCACATATTTGCGCATCATATATAACGGATTCACACGTGCTAACTGTACGACTCTTACGTCACCGCAATCTTCCTAACCTTGATTGCAGTCCTAATCCATCAAAACTTCCCTAGCGAGACGCTGGTTTGCTTTATCCAGCCGACAAACGACAAACTTTTGCCATTTGGTTTAGTTTGTATTTTACTCAGCACGATGCTTGACAGATCACCTCATACTGTTCAGAATAACACAGTCTCTCTGACGTCTTAGGACATCTTTTGACCATACGTCAACATCCGCCTTTTTAGGGTACCCTTAAACGTTGGTTACATGACGATCCCGGGCCGTCATACAACTGACACTTTACCTTTAACGTCGGTTAGGTGACGGGGTAGGTTTAGGTCTGGGGTAGGCTTAGGATCCGATAACGTCATCTAACCGACGTTTAAGGATTCCCTAAAAAGGCGGATATTGACGTATGGTTAAAAGACGGGATGAGACTGCGCTGTAACAGAAACAATCACAGAATATGGCAGAATATGTATGTATATTTAAAATGGTATATAGTCCCTTTGAATAACATCTAATTATTATCTGCATTTAGGTTTCTAATGATAACTTTGAAATACTTTGTAGTCTTTGTTGAGGTTTTGTGTGTGATTCCTGCTAATTGGTGTAAGGTCTACCTTACACCGTTTCTCTCACACGCAAAGACAAACATAACATTCCCAAAGACACACAGCAATCTTTCCTACACCAGAAAGCTGTGAGAGAAGCTGATCCCTGCACAGCTTGAAACCTGTGAACATGAAGGCTGAACTTGACTATTTGAGAACAAACAGGTCTTGCTTGGAGAACGTGTGAGAAGTTTCAGAAATGGTGATTCATCCTGTTATCTATTTGGATGATGACAGTTATACTTTATTGAGCATGCCAGGATAATGATTGCGAGCGGATAACTTTATTACCATGAGGGAGAGTTGTGATAGAAGGTGATTTCTGTTCTTGGTCTTGTGGCTGCTAATGAGATCACGTCTGTTTTGCGTATGAATGTTATTTTCCATCACACACATAAAGCTGTTTGTTTTTCATTTTACAGCTGGCAAAATACTGTTTGAAATACATTTTAAATAAACACATAAGTTTGCTGGCTTGGATGAAGTGATTTTTTCCGATTTATTGGATGATTTCCTCGTGGAGGTGAGAGAGAATTATGGGAGTTTGGACAAATCTACATGTTTTCGCACATACATCTGTACTTGATTGATTCAAATATTAATGCTTAAAATACTGATACTGCTGTTTTGAGAGGACTGATCTTCACATACAAAATATAATATTATATTATGGCCTATTTAATGTTTATAATTTTACATTTTTAAACATTGTATCCTCACAAATATAAACACTTTCAAATTATCAGCAGTACATCTTTTGTTATTCTTGGTACAATATGAATAGTACATTTAAAATTATATTATATTGTAAATTGCCAATAAATAAAAGCAAAAACACTTTTTAATGTTAACAACAGACTTTCAGTTAATGATAATGATAACTCGTTGCCATTTTTTTCTGCTGAATTTCCCACAAAATCAGAGCAGAAAATGTGAAAGTAATTTACAGATTTCTTCTGGGCATTCTTGTGAGTGTATGGAAAGTCGTATGCTGTAAGGACCGTAGAGTCTCATTCTCTATTGTTTTAGAGTTGACAAGCCTTCAGTGTCATCCACACCTCACAAAACACGCAAGGCCTTCTCCTCTACCAGAACAATCACTTTTATTCTCACCAAGGATAGACCGCTCATTGTCTATTGTTCTGTGTAATAACAAACGCATTAGGCCGCATAATTAGTTGCTTAAGGTGTCTTGAGACTGTCCGAGAGCCTGCAATATTGTCACGATGGAATTGGTGGAAAGTTTGTTTGGAGTGTTAATTTGCTTTGGTGCGTGTATGGATTTGTGTTTTACACTCACATGAGGAGATACAAGACAGATGAGCTTAGAAAAAGCTACTCAAGTTACTTAGCAAACTTTGACTGTGTTAATTGGTGTTGTTTAACAAAATGGGAAAGTTTCTTCAAGTAAACTTAGTACAGAGCTTGCTCATAAATCGTAACTGCTTTTCTAAAAACCCATAGTAAATTCATGAGGGAATCCCGTGGCGAATTAGCCTTCGGGCTGGCCTACAAATTGCCATCATGACTGAACTGCTCTATAGAGCGGGGAAAACGTTTAGCTGCAGGGAGTTTAAGAAGGGTAAAAAAGAGAGACAAAGACTAATGATGAAGAGAGAGAGAGAGAGAGATGCATGTAAAGGGCATAAAAAGGATATATTACAGAGCTACAAAACATTTCACCTTGACAGGATCAGGCAAGGTACAGTAAGTGCTAAAGTCAGCAGCACAGAGGAATTCTGGGTAATGGGAGGAGGCAAGACATGCTGAATTCACCCAATTCGTATACTATCCGTCTTGAAATGAAATGAGTAATCCAAGGATACCCGAATTCGAATCTGAATTAGTGCAGATCTTACGGCTAGCATTGCCGACAACCCATGGCACATTGGACGAGGATTCGATCAGAAGTACATACACAAATAGAAAATGTTAAAAACCACAAACATGGCAGATCTGCGAGACGGACGGTTAAGACAAAAGGTTTAATAATACTAATCAGCATCTAACCTGATTAAATGATTAAAATGTTATTCACATTATATATTCAATTTAATGTGGAGGATTTTAACTGTGACCAGATGATTGACAGGCCAGTTTAAACGGGTGACCGGATGAACCAAACTTGCCTTTACTATTCTGCTACACACTTCATACACACTACAACACTACATAATATTAGGGCACAGTATAAGTAGGTGAATTGGGTCTCAGCAAAAATCTTGTCACAAACACACCAAGAAAGACTCTCACATTTATATCTGTCTATTTAACCTCCTGACAAGACACTGTTGACTCAACAATGAGACACCATGTCGGACATGTGATCGTACTGTTGTTGCACTCTCTCATGATCTCTCACTCTCTTTCTTTTCCAGCTTTTACAGAAGCTGTAACCAAAATGTCAGGAGAGGTCCAGGACCCGCCCATGACCCAGAACAACCCTTCATCTGATGCGTCTCTTTCCACGGCGAGCTTCATCATCATCATCACCCTCGCTCTGGGGCTGCAGTGGCCCTTCATCTGAAAGGCCACCACCACATACACACACAAAGATCATATGCACACATGGGCGAACATCATAAAGAAATGTCAGGCTCTTATTCCCCCCAAAAATCAAAAGAAAAAAGAAAGTAGATAACTAAAATCAGGCATTTTGCAAATTTGGCATTGTATTTATTTCATTCAAAATTAAATACGAACAGTTAAAGCAAAAAGTGAGAGTTTTATTCATTCTCATATCTGTCATACAACAAATAAATTATGTGCATATATATGAAGAGTTCAGATGCAAAAGCCTCTAAATGCCGTTTGAAATTTTCTTCTAAAATGACCATTTTTATCAAGCTTGTACATTTAAGTTCAGTAATTTCACGTAAATGACAATTAATAGTTAATCTTCATTGCCATTTAAGTGAAATTACTGAACTTAAATATACAAGCTTGATAAAAATGATCGTTGTAGAAGAAAATTTCAAATGGCACTTAGAGGCTTTTGCATCTGAACTCTTCATACGTATATACAGTCATGATCCGAATTATTGGCAACCTCAGTAAATATGATCAAAGAAAGCTGTAAAAATAATGTTTTTATTTTTTAATCAAAAAAATCGCAAAAATACAACCTTTTATTGAAGTAGAACAATTGAAAGTGGGGGAAAATGATGTTATGTTTTTGGCCAATAATTCTGACCATGACTAATATTATATATGTACATTGTATATATTAGCATTTTTGCACCACACTAGGCTTCTAGGAGGATATTGTTTAAATGTGGCTAATATATATATACATATATAAATTTATTTTTTGTTGCAATTTTAGCATGCTACCAAGTTTATTTTATTTTATACTATTATTCTATTACAGTAGGCTACTAAGAATTGTTGAATTGGAGTTTATTGTCATGGTCATGTCAATTGCCAATACTGTCATAATGCATAAAAAGAAAGAAAGAGTAAAAATAATAAGCTTTATTGTCTTAATCCAAAATTTCTTATGTCCTTCTTTTGATTTTGGGGTGGCACGTGACCTGGGCATTTCCTGACAGTTCATATGACGTTCCCTATACACTGTATCCCTAAAAATTTTGTTTTATGATGTCAATGTTGTTTTATGATGTTCCCAGCCTTCTGTGACAGACCCATTTTTGTGGAAGACTCAGACAGGGAGACTAGCAGTGCTCTCTGGGGTTTAAGTGTTAACACTCTCCACAGACGTATTGTATCAGAACTGGTACAATCACCGACTGGGACTGTGGAATGCATGACAAAACATGTGCATCTGTGGAAACATCGCTCATGACCACACAACAAAAAAGAAAACAGAAATTGTCGGCACTCTGCACAATAAGCAAGGTATATTACCACCACACACACAGAGCATTATTGAATGAAACTATGAATGTGCACATTTAGTATGTATATAGTTTGAACTGGCGCTGAATTTATAGGACAACGAATGTTTATCTAAAGTATCACACATTTTTAAAAAAAATATTTCATGAGCTCTAACTGAAGCCCACACAAACATATAATTATATTTACACAAATCTTACAGCGTATTGGAAATGTTCTGGGGCTTTACCGTTACCCGTTTGCACGACTTCCGTGGCTTTAAAGGGCTTGAAACATCCCTTAAATACTTAACATTTTTTTTTTTTTTTAAATCCTGCATTTACCTCCCCAGTATTCCACCTTTATAAAAAAACACACACACTTTAACTTAATGCTGTACATTTATTAAACATTTGATATATACTCTGTCATTTGGAGTATACTCGGTCAGTTTTATGAAATTGCACTAAACTTACTTTAAAAATGATGCAGGTTTGCGTGAATGTTCTGTCATGTTTAATGAAAAAAAAGAAAAATAACCCCACAGATATGCAGAATGCCTTTCTTTTATAAATAATGAACTTAAAGCAAAGCAATGCAAGAGGTTTAGAAATGCCAAATGTTTTCTATAATAGCTTCTTTTAGCAATGTGTTCATAGCAACATAAAAAAAAATATTTCCTATTGTATGTTAACTTTTTAAGAGTCAGTATTAAAACATTGCTTTAGTTCTTACACAGAAGCAAAGAGGGTCTAATGAGTCTCCGAAACATTTTTTATGTTAAGCTTTTGTTGTTTCTGATTGCACATGAATTGCTACTTTTGATTTCTCTCATATCTCTCTGATGTTGGTTCTATAATGTTTTTATATGAACGTTCACAAATCTTCATACATTCTTAAACATTTGCAAACCAACCATTCAGCCTCAAGTAAGACAGATACACCCAGGGTGCGAATTATGCAGGGTCTGGATCCCTAGGCTTGATGATGACCCCACAAATTTGAGAAAATAAGGGTCTACCTGAGGAGATAACTCTAGCAACATAATGAGCAGGTTGTACTTGGACAAATCACAAGTCATGGCATTATTTATCTTTTGATCATAACGTCACATATCACAAACTTTTAAACCTATAACTGAACCTAAAATTCTGCATTTATTTAATCACATTCACCCTCAGGATATTGATCAAAAAATTATCTTGGGTTTTTAGCAAAAGAAAGAAAGTCATTCTGTCAGGTTGCTGTCAAGTGCAGGACAATGGGTATTTAATGATGATACAATAAAACAAAACAGACAACAAAAACTACTGTAAAACAAAACAGACTTGACGTGACCATGATGGAATGACATGATCGGGTGAGTAAATAATGACAGAATTACATTTTTATGGGTGGAATTGTTCGTTTAATATTGAACTCTAAATATCTATAGCAATTACTTTTCATTAAAAGTTGAAGGTCATTGTATAATTCGCACCATGAATAGAGTTAATGCGAATACAAAACTGATGTTTTCACGCCGCTGCAGTACAACTGTCAATTCTGTGTATGGCTGTCGAATGGATTGATTAAATCAGTTTGTTTGATGTGTTTTATTTGTTTGTTCATGTTTTGGTTGGTACAGTTGAACACGTACAGTACGGCTCGGTGAATGAAGCTACTGAAAAAACAGCGCATATAAAAAGTTGGTTAAACTGCTAATAAACTGATCATTTCAGAAAATTTCATTTTGAAAAAAAGTGTCCGTTTCTCGAAACTTTTACAACAGACATGAGCAGAGTGATGCGACTGAAGCAAGTAGAATCCATTATTCTCAGTGATGTCTAAACACGACATGGCAAATTCCTGACTAAACGTCCGTGTAAGTCTTCCATGTTTGACTAAACTTTAAGTTAAAGAAACAGCTTTTTGAAAGCATCTAAATGGGGGCTTTAAAAAGTCATTGAATTATTCAATAGCAAAATAAATGGTAAATGGTAACGTACCTGTCTCTGGCCTTCTGAAAGGGCATTGTTGTTTCTAAGACTTTTTCCGTTCTTTTTTATGTCAGTGGATCTGTATCATTCGTGAAAATATGGTTATGGTTAAGTTATGTTGACCTGGTCCCCCTTATATTGTTCCAAACCCTTAGAAGAAAAAGTTCTATATAGAACCTTAAAGGGTTTTGTCTGGTGCACAGAAACTATATATTTAGGGGTTCCCATAATGGGATCATTTTATTGAATTCATTTAGTTTTCATTCATTTTTAATTATGAATCAAACAACTCGTGAACATTTTAGTGTATTATGGCCACTTGATTGAGTCAGCAAGTATGGGAACATACTGTATTATATGGACTGCTTTAATTATGTTTTTATATTTATTTTTCATTTAAAGATTTGGAACATTATGGTAAGTAAATAATGATAGAATGTTTACATTTGGGGGAACGTTTCCTTAAAGCCACACTGTTTTCTGTCACAAGGTTCATTTCTTTAATCCATCACACAGATACATACATTCTATTCAAGACATGCTTCTGATTAAATGGGTCAAAATCCATTGACAAGATGATTTAAGCTAGCAAATATAATATTTTTTGAAATGGGGAAAACCAAATGTTTTTTTTAACCAAACAGTCTATACTGTTTTGAATACTGCAATGTCTATTTTTAGATAAAAGATTGCAGATGCATAGCACTGTTTATATCTTTCTTTCAATAGACCTCATTATAGTGAATGTACAAAGTCATGAATTGCTGCAGAGCTTTTACTTGTCATCTTTCTGGAGAAACAGATGCTTTTATGTAACCTAGGACCTCATTTTTTTCTGTTAAATGTGGAAAATCCAAGTACTTTCCTTCCATCCATTTTCAGTGTAGCTTTGAGAAGCGATTGAAACATTTTTCTGCACTTGAGGTCTGCAGAGAAGTTGATGAGTCATAAATGTGAGCCCACACAGTGGACACGTGATTATTATTAGACTTTCATTGGCACCGTAGTTCAAAAGCACCTTCAAGTTAAACTTTGGACAGTATTCTCTCAACCAAATTCATAAAGTTTCCTCATATGCTGAATCACTTTAAATCATCGGTGATTTATAAATAAATTTAGCCTTTTTGCCTTTAGATGAAATGGTTTAAAATAATTAGCAACATAAATGTCACTGTAAAAAAAAAATAGTTTCAAGATTTGTTATCACAACATTTTTTCTTTTGTCAAATCAACGTAAATAATTTATTTAGTTCAGATAACTTATTATTTTGAGTTTCTGATGATAAATTAATCTCCTTTATTGTATAACTTACTTTTTCCAGTTAAATCAACTTAAAATTTTAAGGCAACCAGGTTACTTACTTTTTTAAGTTAAACCAACAATATTTTTTTTACAGTGTGTCTTCTTCAGCTGGAGAGGGGGAAAATATTCGTTTTGCTAAATACCTGGCTTTGTGTAAACGTGGCCTAAATGTGTAAATGAGGTCTAAAACATTTTGACCTTGTCCACTTTCGACCAATTCCAGAGGTAGTTGAAAAATCATTAAACCGCATTGCTAACGTGTGTGGTCGAACAGCCACAAAAGACAGTCTACTGACCTAACGCGTTAACATTATGGGAAGCGCTTTTTACTTACCGTAATTCTTCAAATAAAAACCGGTATTTAAATAAACACCGGGCCTCTGATAGTGGCCGGGTGCGTGATCAACACGGACAAATAAAGGTCGGTCTGAAATTAAGGCCGGGGGAAAATTAGTGTGGTTAACCTCCTAAATGTCTTTCATTGAAGAGATGTTACACCTTTCCACTTCATAAATGTTCTGTGATCTGATAGTGATCTGATCGTGAAAACACCAGGTATACTGTACCTAAATGCCATCCGAAGCGCATTCGAGACGATTTAAATCCGATCGCTCAAACAAACCACTTCTTCAGGAAGAGATCTTAGACGAGATTCAAGACGAATCTGCACAAGTGTAAATGCATCCATGTATTGTTGAAACCACGTATCTAAATTTTACTCCTCCCAAAAACGCAAAAAAATAAGTGTGAGAGCGTGTTAGGCTATGTAATGTTATAGC